TATTTTCCGAAGGATTCTTGACCTGTTTCCCAACCATGTTTCCTTAGATGAGCCAGACAAGCTTTCACCAGCTCTCTCCCCTCCTCCAGAATCCTGCTTTCAGTCTGTCTTTTCTCTGCCAGCCTCCCTCCCTGCTCCCCTCCACTCTGGTATTAGCAGTTAAGGGTTTGGATAGTTTTCTGATCTAAATGATATCATGTGGGGCGGGAAGTGTGGTTTCAGCTTTAGAACTGTGGACGCAGGCATTTTCATTTCTTCTCTTCCTATCGAGTTCTTCTTTTCCATTTGGTTGTAATTACCTCCAAGTTGTAGGAGATTTGAGAAAGTGGTGCCAGGCAAAATACCAGGGATGACATGGGGAAAGATATGCTGGGACAGGATTTTTCTGTGCCTGAGGATTGTGTGACGTGATTGCTACATTGTTCTTACCCACACGAGCTGGGTTCAGTTGGCAAGTCCCCACTAATAAGGAATTTATGTGTTATTTCCGTGCGTCTTCAGTAGTTCTCAATTTCTTTTCCTGCATTTGTGAGTATGTTGAAATATGTCACTAAATATTTACTGTCTGGCTCAGGGCTGATGTTGCTAAGCTTTAGACTCACACAGGAAGGCAGGTCATGTCTGATGTCGAGTGAAAATGGTCACATGACCGATAATGCCCATGCTCTTTATCCTGTAATTTGCAAGTGCCGCTCTTCTCTGCTACTGGAACTGAGTCTATTCCCATGATATACTTCATTTGTTCAGTCCATTCAAAAAAAAGAGTGTCTACTATGTAGCGGGCACAGGTCTAGGGGCGGGACTGCTGCAGAGCAATCAGACAGAAGTCCCTGCCCTCGTGAATCTGACATCCTAGTGAGGTGGGGGAGCAGACAGTATGCAAAACAAACATGTTGCACCCATTATTGGAAAGAGACCAGTGCTGTGGGGAAAAATAGAGCCGGATCGGAGTAGCCAGTGCTAGGAGGTTGGGGGCAAGTTTCAGTTTTAAACAGAACAGTCAGATTGAGCAGGTGCAGTTAAGCACAGAGCTGGAGAGGGGAGTGAACCCCTCTGTAAGCAAGATTGTTGGTTTTCCACCGACGGGGAACCTGAGCTTCCCCACACAAGAGCTGTTACATTTCAGTGTAATAATGTCAATATTACACTAATGTTGGCTATTTATATAGCTTTAAAATGGCTCTTGCTGACTTCGCTTCTGCATCCTTTCCTTTCTGTTGGACTTTTATCAATGTGTCTGGTGCTAGTTCCTTCATCCCAAACCGTTTGGGCTCCTTCAGAGACAGAGTCCAACCCAGGCGTGTTTTCACGTGTCTTTCCAGAAATTAGTTCTGTGGATCCCCAGTCGAGAGTAGTTCTGTATTCTGATCTCTGTTAGCGTGGACTTACTTCTGCTGGTTATATGAGTGAGAAGGCTCTTTGACACTTCAGAAACCAAGATGGGAAAAGGAGAACATTTGAGAATCTAGATAAGTATTGACTACTTTTCTAATCAAGCAGACCAGAAACTTCTGGTTGTGCCCAAGCGCTCTGATGAAAGGCTGTTGTATATTTTGTGTATACTCCTGGCAGCTTATTCAGATTGATGGAAAGCTTCCCTGGTGCTTATTAGCACATTCTGTGACTCCAGTCTTCTAAGCACATTATCCCTTCAGGAGTCAAATTTCTTTCTATTGTGTGTATCCAGTTATATTCAGGGAAAGATCATTATCTTGGCAGAGTCTTAGGTTGGGGATCTTTGGGGGTTGGAATCCTTTTGTGTTGATTCTGGGGGTCCTGAAAATCCAGATGTCTTCAACAGATCTCTTGTGACCGATTGTAATATTGTCAAGATTTTAAATTAGTGTTAATGAGTTAACTTAATTTACCATATAAACTATCAGTACTAACAAAGACTTACTCTCACCCACTACAATAATTATCTTAAGATTAGAATGAAACTTAGAGTGAAATATTTTTATTTCTGTTTTGGAGAATAAAAATGTCAGCTTAGGAAATTTTGTTTAGTCAATGTCTATAATTTGATTAAAGCCTTGCCAAAAATCCAAAATTTTAAGGTTAAAAAAAAGACTAAAATCCAATATGATATTTTCTCTCTGCTTGTTCAGTGCTCAGCATGACTGATTCTTTCAAAGGGTAATATGAACATTTTCAAAACTTATTCAAAATAAAATTTCATTTTAACTGAAAAGTTCAACATGATTTTTTTTTAAATATGACACGCTTCACAAATTTGTGTGTCATCATTGCTCAGGGACCAAGCCAATCTTTTTTCTTTTTTAATTAATTTAATTGAAGTACAGTCACTTACAATGTGTCAATTTCTGGTGTACAGTATTATGTCTCAGTCATGCATATATGTACATATATTCATTTTCATATTCTTTTTCATTAAAGGTTATTACGAGATATTGAATATGGTTCCCTGTGCTATACAGAAGAAATTTGGTTTTTATCTATGTTTATATATAGCAGTTAACATTTGCAAAACTCAAACTCTCAATTTATCTCTCCCCCCAAGTCACTCTTCTGTATCATTCCAATGTTAGTGCTGCTGAAGTGAGCCCTCTATAATTTATAAAAATTAATCAAGTCACACACACACACACACACACACACACCAGTTGTATTAAATTTGCTTAAGATTAGGTCTCATCAACTTATCAGATAAAGCAGAAAACTTGAAATCTGAGCTTTCTGAGTCACTGATTTTACCAGATGACCTTGAGCTAGTCATTTAAACCCTCAGCTTTGGTTTCCTTATCTTCAAACCAGACAAATCCATTCCTTCTCTACTCTGATGTCATAGGGGTGTGATTAAAGAAAGCAGAAGACGTGCCAACATTTGATTTCCTGGGAGAAGAGTTCCATTTAATCCCATCAATGGATATCATTCTCTACAATAGTTCTGTAGAGAGACAGTCTACGAAAGCCTAGCAGATAATGCTGGCTAATTAGATATGTCACATCTACACTGCTTAACTAACGCAGCGAGTCCTGTTCGAACTTGACCCTCTGGTACAGCAGGTGCTTTCTCTAGCTCAGTCTGTTGATTAGTCATGCTCTTCAGAGACCTGACCTGGAAGGTACAGAACTGGAAAATAGGTGCGTCATGTTTGTAACTCTCCTCAAATATGTCTAAATAGCAGAATTGTCTTGATAAAAGTTGACATACTTTTTGAAAGTTGGTGATTTGATAGGGAGAAAGAAGAACCATCATTTATATTTGGAAAAGAGGGTTTCCTTTAGAAAGCATAGAATTGTCAATTCTGTAAACACAGGTCCCAGGCCAAGTTAAAATGTTGTATAAAAACCCGGCTTCCATACATAGTACACCCTTCTTAAAACACAAGGTCAAGGGAGGTACAGCAGCTGAAAAGGTCATAGTTTTACATTCTGGCAAATTTCCTAACTGAGCCTCGGTTTTTAAAAATCTGTAGAATGGGAATAATACTCCTTCCTGACTGGGATCATATTGAACATTAACTACATTTCTTTTTTTGTTTTTTCTTTGGAAAGAGCATTTCTGTTGGGAATTGGGGGGAGGCTCTGGACACCTTACAAATATTGAGAAAATTCAGAAGCGAATTTTAGCTCAGCCTTGGTGGGCTTTGGGATAGAAGCCAGAAATTCTTTAAGGTGGTAAACGAGGCTGTGTTATATGTGGTGACGCTTCCCTCCCTTATTCTTTCATAGGCCCTTCATTTTCTCTTTGTTATCCTCTTCCAAGTCTCCTTTTCTGGCCTGATCGCTCACATTTTGAAACCTCCTCTGAATTAATTCACTTCACCAGACCCTCAGATACCAGTAGAGATTTCTTAAAATAATAAAGACCACCTCTAGACTTTGTCCCTGATCCATGGCAAATATATTTTAGTATGAAGTCTACAGATCTTTAGCTCTGAAGAAAATATTCTGAACCACATACAAAGGTTTTCATTTAAGATTTTAACTATTCCATTCCTGCATATGAATAGTATGTAGGGGAGGGAAAACTTCTCTGATCTTAAGTTCTGTCACCGAAGGCTGTGAATTAAAGTGACAAAAGACATATATCAGGAGAAAAGGTGTATACATTTTATTGATATTTCATTTTTCCAAAAGAAAAAATACGTATTATATTTTATTGAATGTTATTGAGTTAATATTTTAAAATATTTATTTATTTATTTTCATTTTTTTTCTTGTGTATTTTTGTTTGTTTGTTTGTTTTACTTTGTTTTTGTTTATGGCAGGGGAAGGTAACTAGGTTTACTTATTTATTTTAAGGGAGGTACTGGGGATTGAACCCAGGACCTCATGTAGGACCTAAGCATGCGCTCTACCACTTGAGCTATATATCTCCCCTGCCTCATTATTTATTTTTTAATGGAGGTACTGGGGGAAAACTTCCTTTACAAATAGGAAATGTGTGCCCTACTTTTAGGCAGATGGGAGGGGGCAGAGAGCTTTTCCTCATCTGCGGTTTCTCAACTGCCTTCAGCTCAAAATAATCCTTATGTCAAAGTGGCTTATTTTGAGCCCCTTCTACTATAATACTTGGGAAGACATTTTCTCCTAATAAGACCATTCTACGTAAGGTAGACTATAATGGTCTATATATTATATTATATATAATCTAGGCTATAATATTTTAATAAGACTATAAACATAGATTCAAACACAGTCCCGGCTGAAGCCATGAACAGGTGCAGCTGTGTAAGTATTCCTCCATTCAGCTGCCTCTGCTTTGAAAGCCAGCAAACTCCCTCTTTGTACAACATACTTTCTTCTAATTTGTCTTGTTTGCGTGGTGAACTTGTGATTATTTTATTGATTTACAAGACAGGCAGCTCACTGTATACCGTCTGTAGCGAGGAGGGTTGGTTATGGTCATTCTGAGGTCACTGACATGGAATTCTGCCTGTATTCATAATACAGTGTATAATGAATGAGCCTATGACTGATTTGCATTTATAGATTATCATATGTTTTTCCATCTTGGTTTTTCTGTCTGACAGCAGCAGCGTGCAGGGTCAAAGACAGCCGGCCCCCCATGTCAGTGGTCTAGGATGGCCAGTGAAGCCACCAACATCCCAAGTCCTGTGGTACGCCAGATTGACAAGCAGTTTCTGATTTGCAGTATATGCCTGGAGAGGTACAAGAATCCCAAGGTTCTCCCCTGTCTGCACACTTTCTGCGAGAGGTAAGCCTCCTTTGTGCTGGGGGAGGGAGTTTCACAGACTGACCTCCTGCAACCTGCCAAAGGGTTCTTTCCAGAATTCTCCAGTTACCTATGGGAGACAGTAAATCTTTTGTGCTTCTGGTAGACATCTAGAAACATAACCACGAGTTGCCAATAATTTAGTTTATCTCAAATAACTCTAAGTAGGAGGAAGTAATCCAGTAGCCACTGATTTATTTCCATGGGAGATGGAACATTAAATATTTTAAGATTGAAACATTTTTAGCACAGGGAACTATATTCAATGTCTTGTAATAACCTCTAATGGAAAATAATCTGATAAAGAATAGACTTATGTACGTAAATATAAATGAATCATTTTGCTGTATGCCTGAAACATTGTAAATCAACTATACTTCAATTAAAAAAATGAAAAAAAAATTTTAATTTCCCTTTGTTCCTTGTGACACAGTTTTTGCCCACCACACATCTCTCAGAGAGGATCTTTGGTGAGGCCAATTAAAAGTCTATCATTTTCTCCCACATAACAAATCAGGTAAAATACCTGCATATATGAGGAGTTAGTTGAAGAGAGATCTTTCTTCCAAAGATGCTTCAGAAGACGCATACTGATGGCACATGTTATGATGTTGCAGATGAAGGAAAAAAACTGTATATATATATGAAATAATTATAAATTACCTGAATATACAGTTTGCTACATATGAAAACACACTTCTTTTTTTTAATCTTTCTTAAATAGTTTTTCCATTGAGTTAATCAATTTTCAAAATATATTTTTTACCCTCTTATTCAGCTTACACCATCAGCAATTAAGCATTAAAAACACTGTTAGCAATTAGTTTATCTGTGGTCTACTTTATTTCCCTAGTAAGTTTACATATTTTTCTTTTTTTTATATTACCTTACACATTCACTGTTTTGGGGTTTTTTTTTTTCTTTTTGAGTTTTATTAGATAGAATTATTACAGTTTGCACATATACATTATATTGCATGTAAATACATATATACAATATACTGCACTTTTTATTAGTTTACATATGTGTACTGATCATTGTTTCTAAGAACAGATTAGAGCTTTAGCTTCTTAAACTTACATAGTTATCAAAGGAATAAAGCCAGCCACAAAATAAGAATCAACAGAATGTGGTAATCCGATCATAAAGGACAGTCAAATATGCTTTTACACATATTCAAGAAATTACATATTCAAGAAATCAATCATCTAAGTTATAAATAATAAGTAGTTCATTTGTGTCCTTTTTTTTTTTTGATGTGGTATACGGATCAAAGTATTTTTTGTTTGTTTTTTATTTTGGTGATGGGGGAGGTAATTAGGTTTATTTATTTAGTTAGTTAGTTAACAGAGATCCTGGGGATTGAACCCAGGACCTTGTGCATGCTAAGTACGCGATCTACCAGTGAGCTATACCCTTCTCTCCTGCATATTTTTCTTAAAAACAAATATGGTAATTATTTTTATAGCATTTTATTAAATATATTTTCCTTTATTACTTAATGCACAAAATTAATTTTTTTTACCTCCTATCATAGAGCAGGAAACTGGTATTTCCAATGACTTCACATCAATGCTAATTACATTTACCATCCAATCTAACATACATTTGTTATCTGATTGAACGTTCTTTGAGTTGATTTACTTTGGAAGGTCTCAGCTGCAATAGAAAAATCACATCCTTGGTGGTGATGGATGGATGGATTCGGTGGATTTGTTACTGGTGGTTGTGGTGTTTTGTTTCTTTGTTTTGGGTTGTTGTGGAGTGTGTGTGTGTGTGTGCGTGTGTGTCTACTTTTTGTTTGTTTGAAGTGGTGGTATATAAGGGCACCGATACTTTATTCATTTTATATGTCGGCTTATGCACTTTATAATTCATACTCCAAAATGGCTAAATGGAGAGTGACTTCCCCCTCACTCCATGGATGTAGCTAAAACATGAACCCCAGCTGACTGTCCACGGTTCCCCGGGCTCACGTGGTAAGATGACTTTGAAATGCAGCAGTCGACACAGCCTGGAACTCTGTACACGATGCTGAGAGCCACTCAGTTTGAGCTTGGCAGAGCTGCCCCATCCCCCGCTGTTCAATGCCTGGGCAGTCTGTTGTTTGGCTTCTATTTCCTTGCTCTGATAGGTGAGAAGCAACCCTTCTGGGCTGCCCTGGGTCTGCTCCCTGCCGTCTCAGTGAGGACTATTTCAGCCCACTTCCAACTCCCATCCAATAGCTAGTGGCAGAAATTTTCAAGATCGTACCATGGCAAGTCCCTATGGAATGCTGTATGTTGACATTGTTTTAGCATTGTTTGCATTGCAATTATGTACTTCCTTAAAATAGGAAAATTTTGTTTACATAGAGACAAAATTTCAAGGCTGGTCTTACTGTCATTGGCGAGTGAGACCTAAGACCCCTTACCTCCACCTCCTGCCGGGCACAAACACCAGCCAGTGAAGAGCAGCCCTCTTACTGTCATTTCTTCCAAAATGCCATCAGTGGGGCTTGGAAGACAGAGAGTCAGTCCCTGGCCTCATGAAGCTTACAACTAAGTGGAGGAGCCAGTTGTTAACCATCTAATCACTACGGTTAATGTGAAATTAAACCAATGACAAGTGCTACATACCAGGCGCACACAGGCGGCCGCATAATAGAGGAATTTGCTCTAGTCAGGGAAGGCTTCCGTGCAGAAGCGATGATTAAGTAGAAATCCCAAGGGTGAGAAAAAATTAATTTAGCAAAGGGGAGTGAGCAGAAGGAAAGAATTTCAGGGATGTGCAAATGTGGAGAGTGAGAGGGACCGTGACACTTAGGAAGAACTTAAATAAGCCCAGTGTGGCAGACATGCAGCAAATGAAGAAGAAAGAAAATGTCTAGGTGTCAGATCATACAGGTGCATAATCTGTATCACCACATACGGACTCCTGTCTTCCTTGTATGAGGGGAAGCCACAGAAGGGTTTCACCTTCAAAGTGAGAGGAAGGAGAATGGTGAGCTGTGAGTTTTGAGAAGGTCACTCTGGTTGCAGTATGGAGAAGGGTTAGCGGGGTACAAGGGGGATGACCGGACACCAGGTGCAGAGCGACTGCAGAAACCTGAGAAAGGGTGGTGTGATGCAGACGGAGACCTGGAGAAGCTGGAAAAATATTTAGGGATACCCAGGCTTTGGTGATGGGTTGGATGTGGACAGTGAAGGCCAGTAAGGGAATTACGGTTTGAAGAACGACTCCTACATTCTGGTTTACTTAGATGACTGGATGGAGGTGTAGTTCATTGAGATTCGGGGGGTGGACACAGTTTGCGGGAAGGTCAGGGGTTTGGTTTTGAACATGTGAGTATTAGGACCTGTGACACATCTAAGAGGGGAGGTCAAGAGATCAGTTGGTGTACAGATGTGGGGCTCAGGGGAGACATCCGTGTGGGAAGAAGCATAAATGTGGGAGTGTTATGCTTACTTTTAGGCACTACAATATAATGCAATACCCCAGGGAGAAAAGAAGGCTTACAGTAAGCCTTGCTTAACTCCAAAGTGTATTGATTCAGTCGAAAAGAGCAGGCAGAAAGAACCCAGTGAGTGTGATGTCATAAGCCAAGGAAGGATGAAGTTTCCCAAAAAGGAGGGGTAGGGAGATTGTGGTCAAACGTGATGAATACTGTTAAGAAGTCTAGTAAGACAGTATTGAAAAGTAAATGTCTGTTAGATGTAGATGTCGCTAGTGACCTTAGAGAAAGCTGTTTCGTCTCTGGTATTGATTCAGTGCTATGCCACCGACGTGTGTGACATTGGGAAGGTCAGCTTACCTCCTCCGTGTCAATTTCCTCATCTGCAAAATAAGAGAAAAGGAGCGAAACTGGAGGTTTTCACATTCTGTCTGCCGGAGAAACTGGTAGACAGTATACACTGCAGTTATGGAGAGCTTAGATTCTGATCCCAGGTTGCCTGCGTTTACCTGCTGCTCTGCCTCTGACCACCTAAATCCCTCGGGCAAATAGCACCCTCTCTCTGCCTGCAATACCGCATGTGTCTGAAGGAGATCACAGGGTTATTGGAAGGACAATTGACCCTTGAACAACACAGATTTGGACTGCACAGGTTTACTGATTGCGGATTTTTTTTCAGTGGTGAATACTATGGGATTCCATGATCTGCGTTTGGTTGAATCCTCAGACACAGAACCGCAGGTGCGGAGGAACCGGGTAATCGGAGGACTGGCCCTAAGTACATGTGGATTTTCCACTGCAGGAAGTGTCGGCTCCCCTAAACCCTTAGTTGTTCGTGGGCAACTGTACTTTGAACTTAGTGAGCAGTGTTACTCATTATTAGCCATACATTTTGCTAATTAAATGAATTAAATTTGACACCTTTTAAAGAGAGGTCAGGATGGTGGGACTCCATCCCTCTTTCAAACAAAACATTTCCACTTTGATATGTTTTCAGCACCTGAGATCTGCTGATGATTTTGTATGTAAAAAGAGTTTAAATGTTAACAACAACAAAAAGTGACATGTTTCTCCCAATTTGTGTGAAAGTCCACAAATTCGTGAACACCATACTAGATATTCTAGACCAATCTTCACCTTGAATGTGCATACAAATTGCCTTGGAATCTGATTCATTGGGTCTGGAGTGGGACCTGTGGTTCTGCATTTCTTCCAAGCTCTGGGTTGAGGCCGGTGATGCTCACCCATGGACCACACTTTGCTGGTGTGACAGAGCTCTAAGAAACACTACCAAAGCCAGTGAGATTCTTCTTCTTTTTTTTTAGCAGAATCCTTTGCCTGATCAGTTGACGGGTCCAATGTGAGGTTACTTATTAACCTCAGAGATATTCTTTTCCCAGTAAAGGAAGCTACCACGGAAGATCGTGCCGAGTAGCCCTGTAGTCACTGAGAACGTGTATGGTATCCATTCCAGGAGCCCCGCTGTGCTGACAGCCCTCCTTCTCTTCTGCTCTGGCAACAGGTGCCTGCAGAACTACATTCCCGCCCACAGTTTGACCCTCTCCTGCCCAGTGTGCCGCCAGACCTCCATCCTACCCGAGAAGGGGGTGGCCGCGCTTCAGAACAACTTCTTCATCACGAACCTGATGGATGTGCTGCAGCGAACTCCAGGCAGCAACGCCGAGGAGTCCTCCATCCTGGAGACGGTCACCGCTGTGGCTGCGGGGAAGCCTCTCTCGTGCCCAAACCACGATGGGAATGTAAGTGAGCGGACTGCAGGTACTACTGCGTGGCCGTGTGGCTGCTTGATTTGGGGAGGCTTTGGGCAATCAGAGGTTAGACACTAACACAGAACTCCACCTGGAAACTGAGTGATTCAAAATGCGTTTTCCCAGTCCTCAGACTATTTTGCCTGCTTCCTTTCTCTGACCGAATTTAAATAATAAAATCAATCTTCATTGTGTCTACTTAGCACAAATTGTTGGTTTCAGCAGGGGAGCTAACCTATAACTCTGCAAGCTGGGCATACTTCGCCCCCCATAAACATCTGTATAATAAATTATAAAGATGTCTAACAGATAAGTTCTGCAAATTGAGAATGATTATTAAAATATTACTGAAAAAAAAACAGAGAAGTAACACTAAAGTGTTACTAAGTGTACTAAAAAGCTATACACTAAAGGACAAGACAGAAAAGAAAAGAAAAAGAAGTTACTGAATTACAGTTCTTTCTTTTTCTTGTAAGGGAAATTTTACTCACGCTCCCTTAGACCCTACTTCTTAATCATAAATAGAATTTGAAATTATGTGAACCTCTCACAAGAGATTATAGATTATGGATTCCAAACATATTTCCTGCTACCAGCAAGCACAGTAACCATTGTAAACCCAGGAGGACAGCGTGTCCCATCAAATAATGGATTCACAGTAGCCGTGTGCCCGGACAGGCAGCACTGCTTAGCAGCTCACTGTTGGCTTTGGACTCAGATTGTCTGATTCAAATCCTGCTTTTTAATTCAGCCCCTGTGTCAGCTTTGGCAGATTTATTAAACTCTCGGTCTCACTTCCTCATCTGTCAAAAAGAAAGCAATAATAGTTTCCCATACAGGATTATTTGGAGAATTAAATATTTAAGTCAGAGAAAGCATGTGGTAAGCTCTCCATAAATGGTAGCTGTTAAGTTATTTCTAGCTTATGACTTCACCTTTTTCTTTATATAATGGCCACTCCAGAAGTATTGGAAACTGCTGTAATAAAACTCTAAGGCAACAAGAGATCATTAGAGCCAAGCAATAAGTATTAGCCATAATGACTGACTGTTGAGTTAACTCTCATACCACTCCCTGCCCACTGTGCTGCAGCCTCCCTGGCCTCCTAGAACTTTCCATGTGGTCTCCCACCCTGGAGCCTGGCTGTTCTCTGTTCCTGATGACCGGTATGCTCCTGGCTCCCTCTTTACGTGGCTGGCTTGTTCTCATCCTCCCTGCCTCAGCACAAACTCCTCCCATACAGAGCAGTCTTCCCAGATGCCCTAGCTAAGGCAGACCACCTCTGACACCCGGGTACCTGGCATCGCACCGCTGTCTTGACTTGACATTCGCCACGTTCTGCCTGCCTCCATCTGTGTGTCTGCTGACTTACTGATCTCCTGGCCCTGCTTTTAGAAAGTGAGCTCCAAGAGGGAGGGACCATGTCCATCATTAGACCCCTGGCACTAAGCCCCGTATCTTACACATGAAAGTGCACATACAAACAGAGACCAACCAAATAAAACAAAAAAGGCTATTGATTCAGCACTTGCTGTAACAAGGAGTCAGCCACCATCCCTCGTGTTTTGTCAGAGACTCAGGGTCAGGCAGAGGAGTGGGAAAGCTCCATAGTGGGAAAACGGGGTCGGCTGCAGGTGCGCCCTGACTGGGAGCTGCTGACTTGGGGAAGCTGGAGGCAAACGATTTCGTAGTGGGCAAACCTCTGTGATTGCTGAGGGGTGCAAATTTGTCTTTCTCTGGTTGCTCCTAAGTTGGAAGCAGGGACAAAAAGTATTAGTTCTCAAGCCCTAGCCATTTGGGGCCAGGTGGTACAGAATTTATTGTTTAGTTTGTTGGATTGTTACCAGAGATAGCAGTTTGACTTTTCTCTACAATTCTGACTCGTAGCAGGCTGGCTTCCTGTGTTGTTTCACGTAGATAAGGGGATGGGTCTCCCAGGCAGGTTGTGGGTCCCAGTTCTATTTTTCTATCTGGTCTGACCATTGTCCATCTTTATATTCAGTCTCTTAGAAGTCAACCAGCACCTATTTGTTGAACAAATGGCCAGACACCATGCTTGGCTTCTTACACACCACTCGGTGTCAAGTAGGTATTGGGTACCTTCATTTTATAGATGAAGAAACTGAGACTTGAACGGTTTAAATCACACACCTCTCACACTGGCTCTTAGTGAAGACTAAGGCTGTCTCCTCCTGGGGCTTACATCCTAAACACTAGTCTGGGAAGGCATTTATATCAGACACATGAGTCCCCGTACCCCTTAAAGTGTAGTCCAGGCATGGAGTTCTCTGAAGACCTGTGCTGATAGGAAAGTAAAGTTCCAGAAACGTTAGGAGACCTACGGTACACACTGGTCCAAATTTGGGGTGTCAAGGACAGACACGTAGAATGAGAAATAATGGCAACTGGAATGATTACATCAATAAGTAAAGGCAAGAGTGTTGTGGAATTCAGGAAACAGCTTGCAGCTCAGCTCAGCTAGAGCCTGGAGATGGGGCGACAGTGGTGGGAACACAGCTGGGTTGCAGAATGCAGGGATGGGTCTGGAAAGAGAGGGGAGGAATTGTGATGAGCTATGAATGTCATTGAGGAAAGGTTTGACCTAAACACCATAAGCAGTGAGGAAGTATATCACTTATTTGTGAGATCTAAAACAAAATGATACAAATGAACTTATTTACAAAACAGAAACAAACTCACAGACATAGAAAACACATTTATGATTACCAGGGGGTAAGGGGTTGGGAAGGGATAAATTGGGAGTTTGAGATTTGCAGATACTAGCTACTATATATAAAACAGATAAACAACCAGTTTCTACTGTGTAGCAAGGGAACCGTATTCAATATCTTGTAATAACCTATAATGAAAAAGAATAGGAAAAGGAATATATGTATGTATATATGTATGACTGAAACTTGATGCTATACACCAGAAATTGACACATCGTAAACTGACTATATGTCAATAAAAAATTCTTGAAAATAAAAATAAAACCTTTTAAACAGGAGGTGAGTATTTTAGTGGCATGGTGGAGGAATAGAATAGCTGAGACTGGAGGCTGCAACACCAGTTCTGAGTTTAGTATTGAGTTGGCCAAATGAGAGATGGTAAGAGCTAGAATGAAAATTTCATCAATGGACTTGGAGAAGGAAGGATGAATTTTAGAGAGGAGAGTACTGTTTCACTTGAGAATCTGCCCCCCAAAATTAAAAAGGCATATACTAAAATCTGTTGAACCAAGCTATGAAGACTTTGAGCAATTCAAATTGATCATCTAATAGGATTAAAAAAAATCACTGTATTTTCGCATTGTGTAGACCAAGTTCCTGCACCACAATGCAATAAAGTTACACTAGGACCGTATGTTATAGAAGAAACCCCAAATCTTTTTTAAGCTTATAATTATTTAATCAAAGAAAATTAGTAAAATTAAGATTATTTACAAAATAGTGTAAGTGGAAACTTTATTAAATGTGTAAGATAAAGTCAAATCTGTACTCAAGAAATTTTATAGGTTTAAGTATTTTCTGTTATTTAAAAAGAGTGCATTTCTAGAAATTAGGAAAAGGACAATAAAATAAATATATGGAACACAAAACAAAGAATAAAGATAACTTTGGAGAATATGAAAATAATGAAACAGTGGAGTTGATGAATAAATCCAAGAGCTGAATTTTTAAAAATTAATTAAATAACCTGACATCTGATAAAGCAACAAAGGGTAAATATATAAGCCAGATTAGGGCTAATAAAGAGATATCAGCACAGATAAAAAGATTTTAAAATTTGTCAGTTCTCTGTGCTAAAGGCTAATGAAGTCTGAATGAAGTGAATGATTAAGAAACTACAAATGATCAAGAAAATCCAAGTAGACCTATAATCTTGACAGAAACTGGTAAAAGTGAATTTAAAACTGAATACCTTCAAGCCTGTATGAAACAGGTATGATTCATGGTATCTATACTTCTGGACCGTAAGTGAAGATAAGCCCCAAGTTCACCTGTGATACACTCATGACTCGGGCACCAAAATCTAGTGACGACAGAAGAAGAAGAAAACTACAAATCATTCAGTTTATGAAAGTAGCTGTAAAATTCTTATTTAAAATACCCCAGTACATTTTTACTGTATAAGGGTGCTTACTTAGAAATTAAGTATATGAACATCACGAAAGAAAATGAGCATAGAACTTAAAAAATTCACAGGTGGTATAAAAATGGCTGATAATCATATGAGAAAAGATGTTAAGCTTCACAAAGAATTCCTGAAGATGTATTTCCTGAGCATCTCTGGGCACGGAGACCCTTGGATGCCATGGGCTGCTAAACAGAACACTCTCAGAGATGCTGATTGCAGCAAAGTTAAAGCCTTTAGGTTAAACCTTTCCCTTGTCTATCAAACATACTGCATTAAATCACATTAAAAATTAACTCTATTAAAAGATTGGATCCTCCTGGAGGTGAATGAAGCTATTTTAAAGTATGTTTTGAGCACTTCCTCTGTGCTGGGTCGTTCTGATTCTTTGGAATCATAAAGCTTATAAACCAGGAAGAGGCCTTGGAAAATTAACTGCATGTCTTGAATCATTCGAATTGCTTCACCGTAGATTGTAGGAATTCACTACTGCTGCTTTGAAACAGGGGTCCTCATTGCATATTCAAGCCAAATGCATGCAATATTACGGATAAATTGCTGCAGTTAATTGCCATGGGTAAATCTTTAAAAACAATTCAAGCATCAGAAGGTTAATAAAATTGGGTAATTAACAGTAAAGCAGGATGTTGCCTCATAAACTGCCTGGTGCTGATTAGCACATGTGGAGGAAAGCCTGTCATTTACTTTAAGTGCTGTGACACTATCTGTCTTCTAATTAAACTGCCACGGCTGCATTGTTCAAATACAAAGAAAAATGGGAATAACGGTCAGTGATTTAAGAGGTTCTCTGCACTTAAAGCAGACATTTGAGCTCATGCCTCATCCCAGAACAC